GGAGTTTTCGGCCAAGGAGAGAAGAAATGAGGGGTAAATGAAGGAAAAACATATATATATATATATATATATATATATATATTATATATATATATATATATATATATATATATATGGAAAGGGCTTCGCGACCCAACATGGGTTCACGGCCGTGAACCTAGTTTGCGGCCGTGAACATCCCTAGATGATGTTTCCGTCTCGAATGCATTCCTCTAATCCCGAGCTAACACTTCTCAATCTTCAATCCGTAAGTATGCTAGGCTTAGAGACTCTCAAACTGATCCTAAACATAGTAATACCGAAGCAAAAGCAAGTCTGACTTCCTATTGGTTACAGGTAGAGATTTCGGGTTGTCACACTCTAGGGGTTGGAATTAAAGTGTGTGTGAGACTTTACAAATTCCAAAACTTGAGGGCAAGTTTTGAAACTATTCAAGACTCTTCAAGTTCATAACTTATGAGTTTAATGGTCTATTAGAATGAAGACTCTTCATTTTATGTAACCTATGGTTCTTTAATGACTCTTTAAAGAAGTGACTTTTGGTAATCCATAACTTGAGGACAAGTTATGGACTCTATCAATAACATTTAGATCAAGAATTACATCATCAAACAATTTGCAAATAATTCCTATGATCTACAAAAACTCATAAGCATGAACATTCATATCAACAATTTCAAGAATCATATAAACATATATAAAACTTGAAAATTTGATAATAACCATTGTAAATGGATTAGCATAATCATTACCACACCAAAAACAGATTTTATAAGTGCAAAACAGTTTAGGGTAATGATTCTAGTCCATTTCTAGCAGCAAAACTCGAAACTCTGCACACAGGGCCTCCTACTCGTCGAGTGCAATAACCTACTCGACGAGTAGGATGAAATAACACATGGACTCGGCGAGTTCACTGAACAGTGAGCAGAAAATCGACTTTTTCAAGCAGTTTGCATCAAGTATATTGAAAACAATCTTAGGCTCTGATACCACTGATGGGTTTTGAGCATTCTAACACTCCTAAGGTGTACATGCAACCCTAGAAACCTTGGATCTATGTTTTCTCTAATATACATGCAAATTTGATTTTCCAAGGTTCTCAACCTAACTAGCATGTTATGGGGTACTTGTAATATAAAAAACTTAGTAGAATAACATACATTTACTTGTGGTTGATTACTTGGAGTCTTGAGAGCCTAGCACCAATAATGTGGATGCCTCAAGTGGAATCACAAATCACCAAATCAACTTGGAAAGCTTGAGAGAATAATATGTACTAGAGAAATAGGCCCACCTTTGTTCTCACACACACTAGTGCCATTTCTAGAGCCTTGGACTTCTTTATATAGTATGGAGGATTAGGGTTACATCCATGTAAACCCTAATAACCATGACCTTTCATTTCCATAGGATCAATGGGTTAAAAACTCCATGGACTATCCATGCAAGCTTAGCCCATCCTAAATGAACTTGGCCCATTCTCTCTCTCTCTCTCTCTATATATATATATATATATATATATATATATATATATATATAAGAATCCATATTTAATTAGTCTCTTTTGATCACCAAATTAATTCTTGATCAATACTAATTAAATTATATGATTTCATATTAATATATTATAACTTATAATATATTAATAAATCATAAATATACTATTCTCAAAAGATTATCCATACAAATTGTTCCGGTGAAGTGCAACCCAAATTGACCATGCCGGGTCGGGTCAAGTACATACCAAATATAGTTACGGACTTAGACACCTTATCCAACAAGTTTTCCTCACTGTACCTGTGGGTCGAAGGCACCAATGCTGACCCACTAGTTTTGGATATGTATCCTTTTGTATAAGATGTTGTTGTGTTGTAGTGGGCGGTTAGATATATTTATACCCTTATGTGTTAGGATGCGGAAGTAATGGTATGATGGTTAGAGTACTAGTAGGTTGGTTATTGAGCTGTTAGATGTATTTATATCCTTATGTATAGGATGCAACAGTAGTGGTATGCTAGTTAGAGTACCAATAGGCTAGTTATTGAACTGTTAGATATGTTCATATCCTTATGTGTTAGGATGCATCGGTAGTGGTATGCTGGTTAGAGTAGCAATAGGATGGTTATTGTCTAGTGGAATGCCTCAGGGCTGTATGTAGCCATATAGGATAGCTTGAGAACTCTTGATCTAGGCTTTCTTGCATATTCATTGTTTGGTTGTGGTTCTAGAATAAGATCATCTGTTTGGGTGACTATCTCACCTCTGATTACTTATGGCTACACATTCCATGAAGATTTGCATGTAGCTAAGTAGCATGCTGTGAGGATTTTAGTAGGCGGTAATGAGTCTTCTCACTATACTTGCATGTGTGGTAGTATACACATGCTGACAAGTTGGGTCTCATTTGTTGATTGTTATTATATGTGAACTTAGTTGCTAATACTCATGGACTGCTGATAGTCCCCATGATTGCTGATAACCCGTGAGGGTGTTGCTAATCTACAAGGCGTGCTGTTAGCCCACTAGGACCGCTGATAGTCCCCAAGTTTGTTGATAACCCATAATTGTTTATATTGTTGTGTTGTATGTGTTATTCAGGACTATTAATAGTCTCAGGGCTACTGGTAACCTTTTGTTGATTATTATGTTGTGTTGTATGGGGTATTTTGGGGAAACTCACTAAGCTTCGTGCTTACCCAGCTGTTATTTTTTTCAGGCATTATATGTTATCGTGGAAAGACGAAGGCGTGACTGTACACATTCATCGACAACAATGAAGATTCCGCGCTTACTATAATACTCTAATTTTAAATAATGTACTTTGGAACTATTGGTTTTTTCGTCTTGTATTTTGAAAATGAGCAGTTTTTCTCTAATTAAAAATGAAAATTTTGGTTGTGAAATTGGGACGCTAAATTCTATTAGGGTTAATTTTCGGCTCTATTTGTAGGTTTCAGCGTCGCCACAGCGTGGAAATGCCTTTTCCACGTCGTGGAAATGGATTTGCCACGACGTGGGAACTGGGAATCCGAATTTGGCACAAACACGAAAATTGTCTGGATTTTGTCTAGTTTTCAGAACATCTTGAATCTCTTCAATCGGATTTACGAATCATAAAATATGGCCAAAACACTAAAAGAGAGGTCAATCTATCCAACAACATCCTTTTTACGTCTTTTCAGCTCCGTTCTCCTCCTTTTGCATCCCAGCTCCGATTTTAATTGTCATATATATTAAAATATAACATTTTTACTCCAATATGTTAGGATAATGATCTAAAATACATTGTTAAATAAGGTCATATCAAAGTACCATCAAAAGCCACCATTCAAGTTCCCTTTAAGATTCTCCATAACAAATTAAACAAACATGGATGTTAGTTTTCACATTTTTTTAGGACATAATATATAAAATTTCTATTTGGTAGATTGATATACCTATATAAACTACTCCAGTACCAATACATACCTGCTGGTGCATTTGACAGAGTGATGAGCAAAACCTGCAAAAAAAAATGCAAAGATATATAAGGGTAGAAGGGATTTAAAAAATGAAATTACAATAAATAAACAAACCTTCCTAAATACTGTTGAATATAGGAAGGGTATAGGTTGAAAAATATTTCCATTCCCATTTCCATTTACATGTTTATTTCTAGGTGGTAACTCAACTTTTAGACTTTCATGTAATGCTCTTGCAAGCTGTTCATCCTCACTCATTTGAGAATCATAACATAAACAACAAATTAAAAAAAAAAAGAATAATCCATCAGTTTTGAAAATATTAAAAAAGGGTACAATTGCTTGGGGTGCAAAAACAATGTCTAGAATAAATATGACGAATGACAATCGGTTAAAAGAGGGTACAATTGTTTAGTGGAAACAAAGAAGAAACACATAAGGAATTAGAAAGTAAGAGAAAGACAAAGTGAGATACGAACGACAATCGGTTAATTGCTGACGCAGAACAAGAATTGAAGACGCTTATCTCCCATTAACGAAGGAAGAATGAAAGGAAGCAAAACCTAACAGTGAAATGGTAAAAAACTGAAACAAAATTGTCAAAGAGACGGAAACTGACAAATGACAAAATTATTATGGTCAAAATCTTAAGTGTATAAAAGACACTGTTCATATGCGAGATGAATATAAGAATATTTCGTTTAATGACAATTGACATCAAGTTTTTTTCCCGAGAAATTTTGTGAAATGACCAAAAAGAGGGGAGGGTTTGAGAAAAATGACCAATAAATTTTGTTTTTCGGAAAATGACCATGATTTCGGAAAATGACCATGACATGTCTCTTGGTGGTTGACCTCTTTCTTGACTTTGCTTTCCTAACGTTAACGTGGCTTTTGATTGCTTTTTGTTGAAAGGAACATGGGAGACCTTGAGTTGAGATGACCTCAACACAATCTTTGCTATTTTATGAAAATTTATACGAACTTTCAAGAAATGGTCCATGTGGAAATAAGAAAAACATAAAAAAAAAATAGGGTAAAAGACATTTTACATTAGTTACTAACTTTTTTGGCTGCCACTTAAATGACCATGTTACTTCATTCCATCTTTATATTTATATCAAAATTTCACTAAGTTTTTTAATCGACAATGTTTTCTTAACGTAAAAGTTAGTTTGAAATCCAAAATGTTTTCCAAAGTTCGAAATCACCAACAAAAATATCATATTTCAGATAACACGATCATTTTGAAAAGAAATATTAAAATCGATTAAATATATTATACATATAAATAATCATTTGAGATAACCCGATTCATAATTATACTTTTCATATATCACCATCACAATGACATGTAAAATATATAATAAATTTGTCCCAATTATATCCTAACTGCTAAACAATAAGAAAATATTTTAGCAATCATTATTGAAAGCTGTTAAATACTTATAAGAAATTAACGGTTGTTAAGATATTAATTAATTTAAAAGTCCCAAATAAAACGCGTTTTCTTGCGGCGAGGGACGACGCGGGGGTTTACAAGTGGGGCATAACTCAACTATCTACAGAGACTCATTTCTCCCCTCTTTCTTTCACTCCCCCACATCTGCTTGCTTCCTGTCTGCTCTCCCCTAACTAAACATCACCGGCCGGCGGCGATGGGCAATTGCTGCAGTGGTGATGGTGGCGGCCAATCTGCCATCGGCGGATCTTCTTCTCATCCAAATGCTAATGTTCATAACGACGCCGTCGATGGTTTTCTTAAATTTCGTGGCTACCATGGCCTTTACACTGAGATCGAGGTTTTCTTTTCACTTTTTTCCCTCTTACTTGTTTTAATTTTAGGATATGTACACTTCAATCGGTTCTGTAACTTCTGGATTTTTCTTCTGTATTTGCTGGAATATACTTTTGATACACCACCGAGTTCGTACAATAAAATCATCGACGGTGAATTTATTTTCGACATTGCAATAGAGGTGGAAACTGTTAGCTTAAGTGATTGGTTAAGCGTTCAGACCTCTGTGGCTGTGTGAATTGTTTTTGAAAATATTAAATTGATGAATCAATTGATTAGTTCCATCTGTTTTCCACTGATGGAGGGAGTGTTTATTCGAGTTCATGTACATTGAAGTCGAGGGAGCTAATTTAGCAAGATATTGAGCTATCTATAGAGCAGGAGCAAGTACTTGTGTACTCCCGTCACACCCCCACGTGCAATTAATAGGAGTTGAAGAAAAAAAATTATGTATAACTCCTGGATTGTAATTTGTACCTTGTGTTCTTGAATTCTGAAGTAGAAGATGAGTTCATGTAGGGGCACCACTCTGAGTCTTTGTAGATCACAATAGAAAAACCGAATCTAATGTGAATCAGAATTAGAAGATTGTGGAGCTGGAAGATCACCCTGTTACAGGAGAAGTCTAGGCCACGTTTAACGACATGTGACCTAGTCAAGCCATGACTTTACTAGATAAAAGCTGATGCTTCATGGATTGTAGCACCTTGATTTTTTCATCCATAGATAGCAACAAGTGTAAAATACCTAATAGAAACAATATAGATACTAACAAGCCTCTAATACCACAATGAAAATTATGTCAATTATCAAATCATGAAATTAAAAAAACTATAATAAATCTGGAATACATTCCACACACAGCTGAAAAGCAAAAGTTCATGAGTTTAAACACATGAAAACATTTGAAAACACTGCATATAAAAAACTTTAAATAATTACTATGTAGGTCCTCTGGCTAGTTACTTGGGTTGCAATACTTCAATTTCAAGAAAATGTCCACTTTCTAGCCTGAGGGATTTGAGGTTTGCGATTAGGATGTCATCTAGGTGTGATGCCTTTCTACCAGAACTGGGTACCCACAAGCCATCAAGACGTTTGATTAATTTATTTTAAACTATTGCACCTTAAATGTACCCTATACTCTATATTCAACGACAAGTAACCTTAGAGTAACAGACAAATGATCTACACTGTGTTAGCCTGTTAGGCATTGTAATACAATTTATAGTACTTAATTGCCTCAGGTTTTGTTTCTCTGATGCATTACACAAATTCTTGCAGCTATCCTTATCTGCTTCAAACTTGCGTGATCGAGACGTGCTTTCCAAGGTACATTGCTTGCTTTCTTACAAGAACCTAGGGATTTAAATCTTTAATCATGTAATATTATAGTCCTAGATACTGATTTCTGGTACTTCATACATACTTGTTTTCAAAGCTGTGCCCTCCTCGATTCCTATGTTCTTGATTAACATATATAGTAGAAACTAACTTGATAGATTTCTATTAAAATCAGTGTTGATTTTTATCACAGTTATACCTGATGGTTCTTATAATGCTACATATGGTTTTTGAGATAATTTGGGTTCTGGGTTAGATCCTGATAGTTGCTAATGTTTGATTCCAACAATAGTGAAGATCTTGATATGTTAATCTATTAAGATTTGTATGTGTTGTTGAGTTTTCTGAATTTCGTTTAAAAAAAATAAAAAAGAAAATAGAGGTCGAAGATGAATATGGTTTAAGTGACCAAAATGCCCCTCACATTGAATGGAATGGGAATGGGTTAACAGCTCAGACATGATGGTGTCCGGTGTCCATTTCAAGGACACGATCCATGTAATGATTTTTAAAATATACCAAAGAGACAAAAAATGCGATCTTTTTGCCTATATCTTTTATAATGTTTTTGGTAAAGCTCTAGTTTGCTTCTTAATCAACATAAGTCTTCATCTTTTACATGAAAGCTTGCCTCTTATCTCACAGATGTATGTTTCATTTATAGAGTGATCCTATGGCAGTTATATACACAAAAGGAAGGGATGGTTCATTACAAGAAATTGGACGCACTGAAGTTGTCCTAAATTCATTAACTCCCCAATGGATTAAAAAAGTTATCATCACTTATCATTTTGAGATGGTTCAAACACTTGTGTAAGTTTTTTTTAGGTCATGTCTTTATCTTCTTACACATATCTTTCCTTGTCAATTCCATTCACCATTAACTTACATCATAGGTTCCGTGTGTATGATGTTGACACTCAGTTTCATGGACTAGAAGAAAAGGTATAATATACGAATCTATATTCTAATAAGTGGTTATTTCTTTTTTACTTAATACCTTAATGGGCTTAATGGATTAAGCACTTTATCCAAAGAGCTATTCATGGCTGTTATTTTGGACTTATTCTTAGCGGAATGATTTAATGTTGAGCAACTTAATGTCTGTCTTGCAGATGCTTAAGTTGGAAGAACAGCAACTTCTGGGCGAGGGTACTTGCTTATTATCTGAGGTATCAGCTATCTATCTGTTTGTTTTTTTTTTGAAGTTTTTGTATAACTTATAAGCAATGGAACCCTACTTGGAACATTTACCTTAGATAGTATTTATGGGTATATGATTGGTTAAAAAGCTCATGTTTTCCACGTAGATAGTAACCAGACAGAACCGCACATTGCCCATAGATCTTATGAAAAAAGTAGAATCTACAAGCTCCACTCGTCCAATGAAATTAGGACAGCTCACAGTTCATGCAGAAGAATGTGCTGTCTCCAAAACTACAACAGAGTTGGTATTTAGGTGCATGGATTTAGAAAACAAGGAACGCTTCTCCAAAAGTGTATGTGCTTTCTAATCAATAACTCTCTCATGTAATTTAATTATAATATATTAATATAACTGCATTGATTCATTTCATATTGTTTTTTTTATTCAGGACCCCTTTTTGGTAATTTCTAAATGTGTGGAGAGTGGACATGCTGTTCCAATTTGCAAAACAGAGGTCATGCAAAATGATCTAAATCCTATGTGGAAACCTGTCTCCATAAGTATTTCACAAGTTGGAAGCAAGGTATAAACATGTTATTTCTAAAAACATACTTTATTATACAACACTTTATCCATACATACATCATTATTCATTACACCTGCAGTTACTTTAAGAAACAGTCCCTTTGCAATTGCGAGTTGCCATTTATATCTTTTTGTCAAATCTTTGCAGGAAACTCCGCTCATTATCGAGTGCTTTGACTTCAATAGTAATGGGAGGCATGAATTGCTTGGGTAAGTCATAAGTGAATTACTTTTATATTTGGTTTACTTCTCTATTATTTATTTACCAAAATGCTGATTTTTTTTTTGTGGTTTATTCAGCAAAGTTCAGAAGTCACTTGTTCAGTTAGAAAACCTATTTTCTAGTGGTGAGGGAGAGCATTTATTTGTACCCATCAATTTTGGGAAAGAACATCAAACTAAGGTATTGAAGAGTCGCCTCTTTGTGGACAAGTTTTCTGAAAGTGTCCATCATACTTTCCTGGATTACTTGGATAGTGGCTTTGAAATGAACTTCATGGTGGCTATAGATTTCACAGGTATCTGATTCTGCTTCAAAAATGCTAATGTTATTATTGTTGCTTTCTTACCTGATAATTATTGAACTTTCTAAAAATAATAGTATAAACTATAATATGATGCAATGTGCGATTTACTTTTCTTGTTTTAGCTATATGAAAAGCTACTGGAAATATGTCCCTATCGATTAAAATTTTAAAATGAATATATGCTTCTTAACTCATGCTCTTGAGTAAATTACGATTTTGGTCCCTAAGTATAGCTGTTTTTTTCAATTTTGGTCCAAAAATTTACTATATTTGGGGACCAAAAACATTACAAGACGCTTAAATAAAGAACCAAAAACGTTACAAGAACCTCAAATAAGGACTAAAATTGCAAGAGGGAATTTGGGGATAAAAATTGCAAAATTCAGCTTTACTCAGGGACCAAAAATGTAACCTACTCTATATTCTATTTTCAGCTTCAAATGGAAACCCTCGGTTGCCAGATTCTTTACATTATATCGACCATTCTGGACGTCCAAATGCATACCAGAAGGTGAGAATCCGATTTTTTTTTTTTTTATAAACTTATTACAATATATTTACACTTCAATAAAAGTATAATAATTTTATTTTATATATTCTAGGCAATCCTAGAGGTTGGGGAGGTACTCCAGTGTTATGATTCTGACAGGAAGTTTCATGCATGGGGCTTTGGAGCACGACCAATCGATGGCCCTGTCTCTCATTGTTTCAACCTAAATGGAAGCAGTGGGCACTCAGAGGTATGCAATAGTTATATAATTTTATTAAAATTTAATTTAATATTTCTAGTCTCTTCGTTTAAACATTAATGTTATATGTTATCAGGTGGAAGGGATCCAAGGAATTATGAATGCATATGCAAGTGCGCTATTTAATGTGACACTTGCAGGGCCAACTCTATTTGGACCTGTGATTGCTGCTGCTGCAATGATAGCCAGCCAGGCTTTGGCAGCTAATGAAAAGAAGTATTTTGTTTTGTTAATCATCACGGTATCTATCTATCCATCATATCATTCATTAAACTACAAAAATGTTTTTGTTTTTGTTTTTCTTTAAACAAAATTAATTACTTTTTAATTTAATTTCTGTTACAGGATGGAGTGATAACAGATCTACAAGAAACGAAAGATGCCCTTGTGAGCGCGTCGGATTTGCCACTCTCTATTCTTATTGTTGGGGTTGGTGGAGCCGACTATAAGGAGATGGAGGTACTGAAATTACTCTTTTGCCCATCTTGTTTTGTCGTGGCTATATGGGTATGTTTTTCTTAATTTCTAATGTTGTGTAGGTTTTGGATGCGGATAAGGGAGAGAGACTTGAAAGTACAACGGGACGTGTTGCGACACGTGATATTGTCCAATTTGTTCCATTTAGAGACGTACAAGGTAACTCATGGTTTCTTCTCTGTTTCAGCACATCTTCTCTCCCTATAGCTCTATATACATGTTTGTAGGTGGGATTCAACATGTTGATAAAAACAACCACATAATGGACATAAATTAACTAAACATTTTAGTGAAACTACCCCACCAAAAATCAATTTCATTTCATGAGCTCTCCTCATGATACATGCTTACATTCCCCTTTATATAAAAGAATGTTGTTAGACTTAGACTTATACTTCAAACATAGAGACTTATACTCTAAACACATGTACTCCCTAAGTCCCTATACAAAAGATGCCAGTGTGTTAGACTTGTACTTCAAACACATAAACTTCTTATTTAAAAGACGCCCGTTAGACTTATACTTCAAACGTATAGACAACCTATATAAAAGATGCCACAAAGTTGTTCAGTTGATTTAATGAACTCTCCTCATGATACATGTCTCCTTGTTTATAAACACGTTTACAAAACAACTTCCACAATAAATAGCCAATTCCCATAAGTATCCCTGTCGAAAATACTCGAAACCCGAATTACCCGCCCGATTTTTCGGGTATCGGGTAAATTTTTTCGGGTAATCGGGTAACCCGATTTTTTTCGGGTCGGGTAAACGGTACATTTTTTGGGTTTCGGGTATACCCGAATTATTTTAAAAATTTCTTTTTTTTGTAGAGCTTGTATTATATAGCAGATATTTGATCACGCTTAAACTATCTATCATTATTGTAAAACATGAATCTATTTATTTCGACAATATGACACTAACAATATTAAAAGTAATTGTTTATATATCATCATGTTCTTTAAAACTTAACAGTTTTCTAGATTATAGTTTTATTGCAACTAACAAACTCATTATCTTGACGAAACTTCAGAACATGGCAAAACTTATGGCTACAATTATCTTAAACATTTTAAACTTTTAAATTAAGATCTTTAAGTATTTGTTTTTTTAACATCTTATTAGATTAGATTAAGTTGTTAAAAAATTACTTGATATCTCAGGTATTATTGACTAAAAAATCTCAATGTTCAAAGCTTGAGTAACTTCGTTTATGTCTCGTTTGTTTATATAAACAAGACTAATAAAGCACGACGTATTTATTTCATTAAATTTATTTTCAAGTGAAATTAAAAAAAAAATTATATATTTCGGGTAATACCCGAATTACCCAAACCCGACCCGATACCCGAATTTAGTTTGGGTAGGGTAACGAATTACCCGACCCGAATTACCCGAAACCCGAAAAAATTACCCGATCAACACCCCTACCCATAAGGTCATGGGAGTAAGAGGAGGCAGCTAGATATACTCAGGCTTACCTCCACCCACCCGAGGGTAGATTTGTTGCTTTTACAAGAGATTTCTTTATATAAATACAAGAAGTAGAAGTGCACACCATATATACGAGTGAATAAAAAAAATACTATTAGATATGCTAACATGGAAATGGTACTAATGGTAATAAGTGAAATAATTAAGTAGATACATATATTAATACACTTAAAAATAATATAACTAAAGCATATGTTAACTCCACTACCCTAATTTTATGTCTCCACTCCCTCGTATATGAGGTCATGTCCTTGGAAATTGCCAACTCTTTCATGTCTAACCTCGAACCATCTTTCCACTTCCTCTGAAATCAACCTCTTTGCCCCGTTGACTGTAACAGTCTCCAACCTCCTTACTTTAGCTGTAAATTGCCTCCTTTTCACATGTCCAAACCACCACACTATTGTTTCCCTCCTTTTTTTTGCATTGAAACAACTTCTAAATTGCTTATGATTATCGTATTTGGTCCCTTGTCTAACAATTTTGTATGGCATGTCCACCATAGCATCCTTAACTCTATGAGACCCTTATCTCATATGCTTTCTTTATCGGCCAACATTTTGTTTGGATTTTAGTTCAATACTTCAATATAATAAAGTAATAGTAGAAAACATATATATATATATACCATTTTAAGTCACGTCGAGGTGGCTCGTTAAGCTTGAGGCTCGACCTTGGCGACACACCACGCTTCATGCCATTTAGAACCTTGATGAACATCATATGAAGGTCCTTACGTTTTTTTTTTCTATATATTCTTCAATAAGGCATATTAGAAGGTAAATCGTCTCACCCATTGACCTCCCATATGAAGCTTAACTGATACTCTATTATGCGTATGGTTGTTTCATGCAACTTGGCCCACAACACTCTTTCACATACTTCCATTGTACGACTAAGTAACTTGATGCATTTTGGTATCAATAGTTATAAGTGAAATAATTTTGGTATCACAATACTAACCCCCGGCATCTGGGCAATCTTGAGGATAATGTAGATAGGTTGATTAGGATTCTTTGAATTTCTGATGTGTTCTCATCCTTCAACGCCTTGTATTTCTGGAACCATTATTTTTTGTCAAGATAATAAAAAACACAATAAAGGTATTTCTTGGCTCAACAAGCCTTAGACCTCTAGTTTTATGATAGTCAACATTTTCATCGGAGTAGCTAGATAGATACATTGCATGCGTCAAAGTAAAGTCTTATTGGAGTACGTTTGTTTGACTTTTGAGTTTTGAGTACAAAAAGTAACATTTAAACATGTGCTATCATCATCATTACTTTGAATTCCAAAAGGTTGGAAGTTTTGAATATAAAAAACCAAAACTTGACTTTTCCTCAAAATCTGGTGGTTGGTTTGAAACTTTGAATTTGCTTGCAGGTGGAGAAATCTCTGTGGTTCAATCGCTTTTGGAAGAACTACCCTCACAATTCTTAACCTTCATGAGAAACAGAGATATAAAACCCTACAACACCACATGATTTCATACAAATTTGTATATATATATATATATATATATTTCTTTGTGCAATTTTTATTTTCATCCTCTTGCTCCTTTCTTTATCCTACTCATGATTAGGATCGTGGGCAGGAAAAAAAAGGAGACAAGGACATGATGGAATGTATCACATGGTTTTGAAAAGATACAATTTTCATTTTTCATGTTGTGTGCTTAGAACCAATTAGCACATGACATGTGTGATGGTTTGAGAATTACATGTGTGTTGCTGTTGAGCTAGTTGACCATGCACATGTGACAAAAATGTAGAAACTTGTATTTACGACTGGTGAACAGTGGGTTGAAAGTTGTGGAGACCTTGCTCTATTGAACAAACTCTAATTTATATATATATATATATATATATATATATATATATATATATATATATATATATATATATATATATTTCTTTCCATGTTGTAATTTACCACTCTCCTTTTTTACATGGATAATTACATATCTGGAATTCAGTTCCACATTTTTTTTTCTAGACACTGAGAAAGAAATTCATATTTAGCAAACTAAAAATTTACGCTCTATATATTTTATCTTGAATAATATTCTGTTGCGTGAGGATTGTCAAAAAATATAGATTTTTCTTTTAAAATTAATGTTTGATGGATTTCATTATGGACAACTTGAATTTCATTTTTCATGTTTTCTTTAGAAGAATAATTTGTCCTCATTAACGGCAAAACGATTACAGACAAATCAATCAGAAAATTACAAAAATATGTAATCTACCCCCTTTATAGACAAGATTGTTGACATCTACATCACTCTTATCCCATCTCAATGGAATTACAGGCTTCGTTGTGTGCTGAAGAAATATTCCATAAATACAAATAGACATATAAACAGGTCCGGGACCAGATTGGGCCTGAAAAACGAATAAGCCGTAAACTAAGAACCGAAAACTGGACTGATACCACTAATCGGTTCCAGTTCGATCTGGTTCCGGTTCGTTTTTTCGGTTAAAAGTTCATTCCTAATTACAAATATATAATGTGGACCAAACACCCTTTTAGTTTTGAAATCAATCAAATAGGTTGACCGGTTCACAAGTTCAAAGATTAGTTATTTATGACTTTAAAATAAATAAAATAGATAAAAAAAAAGTTGTTCATTAATCGCTCCAGCCTGACCGATATTACCAACCGTTTTGATTGGTATTAAAAGAACATCCATTTAACCGGTTCGATTAAATTGTAACTTTAAGTTATTATCCAATCCATCTATTTTCCCACCTTTGGATTTGACTTTCCAAAAAATTCAGCTTTTAGAAGATAAGATAAACACAAGGACATTGTGTTTGGCAGGGTCATGCTGAAAGTTAGGGTTCATACCTCTTTTCATTTTTAATTACTTGAACCAGAATTCCTTTACCACAGTTTTCAATCCGACAAAGCCTGCCATTTTCAAGAGTCATAAGGTCAAACATCCGTGTTGAATGCATTTCTATTATACCATATATAATACCATTTTCCAAAGTATATATCTATTTTATAATCCCATCTTTATTCTTTTCATGTATCAAATATTATGCTTCAACTTCTTGTAAAGTTTGATAAATTCAATGTCATTAATTCCTTTTTCGTATTTTAATTAGGTGGGTAATTCAGTAATTTGAATTAAGTCTGCTAATTCGATCCATGCATACGTGCAACAATCGCTAGCAAGGCCCACATATATATCCCTCTTTGTTTTTGTTGCCACTCACTTTTTCTTGTGTACCCATTTGAGAACACGCATGGGATCAACAAACGAACCACTTTTCCAACTTTGAAGCCATGGCTCGTGATCCAATATGACAGTAAAGTGACCAATATTGACCCTACCACACATGCATTTACATTTGTTTTTAGCGGTTTTTTGTTGGATCTATATCACACACTTGTGTGTGAAACTGAGGATTATCGTCCAAAAAACATGCAGATATATTAGACAAAAAAAAAAGCTTCAAAGAAGCAAAGCAAAAGCAACAAACAAGGTATCAGATTTCACATCTCATCTGATCTCATCATGTATATGGAAAACGATACCAAACTTACATGTGGAAAACAACATAACATAAAGACAAGTTGATCAAGCGAAATGATTAATTATAATACGTAGAGAGTATTTGTTTTTGCAAATCTCTTTCAACGATCAGATAGTTATACATTTTTTTAAGCTGGAATTAAATACAAACCAAATGCTAGGTACAAAATATTGCAGCATTGTCTCGATTCATCATTCATAATCATTTTTGGCATAACAAGAACTTGTATTAATGACTTGATAGGGTGATAAACTATGACTTTTATACACATCTAGTCATTTTTTTCCGTACACAACTAATTCCATTTGTTGTTCAAAAACTACAAATACAACCAGGTATTGCATGCTTATTTTGGCATCTACGTGGCATGCAGTGGTGGATCTAGAAAAATAAATTAAGCTATCCAATAATGCAACTATATAGTAAATTTTGATCAATAACTTTAAAAAAAAGGCTAGATAACACTTAATATCAAGAGAAAAGTTTACAAATGCTGTCGTGCGAGTGCTTATAGTTATCAAGCTTGTAGTTGGTTTTGTAAAAAGATGCGATGAATATACAATTTGTATTAAACATGAGTTCAAATACTTGTAGCTTTTGGATTTAAATTAGGAATTTATATTTTATGATATTTTTTTGGTTGGTTTCATTTATTAATTATAAGGATGTAAATATTTTTAAAAAGTTTCTATTACGTCAAATATTGTAATTGTGCTGAATTCTTGTTTTCTTAGGATGGAATTGGTATTTGGGTATGCAAGTAATTTGAGAAGGGTATGCATTATTAAACATCATATATATAAATATATTTTTTCAATAAAAAATAAATACTTCTAGTAACTAACGAAGGGTATGAAATTGCATACCCTTTCAAAGCTATAAATCCGCCCCTGGTGGCATGTGAGGGGCTTGGTACCTAATCTATATGTTATATACGATGTCTTTCTATAACCTCTTCATATTGTTGCTCTAAAATTAACGACCAAGCAAGATCGAACAATGTCTTCTTCCTCTAACTTGAATTAGGACATCCTTGAATGAGAAGGTTAGGGTGTGCCCTAACTCTGTGGTAAGGAGAATCAAGCAATTCCTTCTTCGTTTTAGTATTCCTCTTTTAACCCTTTTGTTTTGTTTTTGAAGAATTCAAGGAAAAATGTTATTTTTGGGAATTGGTGGATCCAAAACTTTCAATTTACAAGCTGAACCTGAAAAAAATGGAAACATGTAATTCTGCACTTAAATTTTGTAACAACCCAAAATCCAAATAAAAATTTTCATTTTCAAAAAGGAAATTACATCCATAAATTGTGTCCAAAATCCATTACACCTTAACATGTTCAATTATCAGAGTAACAATATCAGTAAGTGCGGAAAACAGTGGAGAGTGAATGTTGCGCCATCAAGTCGGACCCTTCCCCTTAGTATCGGAAGTACCTGAAATCACAATACAAACTGTAAGCAAAAGCTTAGTAAGTTTCCCAAATACCACATAACATAAAATCACAAAATGCTACACAACATACATATGATTGCCATGGGCTACCCCCATGGTCTTTTCCCTGAAATGCCATGGGGTACCCCCATGGTCTGACATCCAAGTGACATGGGCTACCCCTATGGTCTTCCATGCCACGGGCTACCCCCGTGGTCTTCCATACAAGTGCCACGGGCTACCTCCAAGGTCTTTCAATCAAACAAACACATAAGCAACTATCATTCCGCATGTCAAGTAATGGGCCGACATTGGTGCCTTCGACCCATTGATATAGTGAGAAGACCCACCTCAGTCTGTTGGTAAATACTGACTGCTCGGCTACCGATCCGACAATCTCACACTGAATATACACAAATTACCCTAATTAGAATTAGGTCACAAACTCAAGACATGGGCCAAAACCCTAAGTCCAGCTCCTAGACTATGACCCATTTTGTCTATCCCATAATGAGCCTAACCATATTCGGCCCATCCACAATAACAAGCTCTATGCCCAAAGGCCCAAACCATGACACGCAAGGCCTACAACAGAAAATTGGGCCCACCTATCCTAAATAGGCCAAGGCCCAAAACTAGTTAAGGCCCAAAAGTTCCAAAAGTCCAAAACTTATCCAACAACCCACTGGGCGTACGCGCAACGTACATGATCAGTACGCTTACCGTATTCGGTCTTCAGGCAGTACGTGCAGCGTACATCTTAGTACGCCCAACGTACTAAACTGCTAAGCATATTCAACCATTAAGTGCTTAATCCATGCAGACACTTCGTCAAATTCCATATCTTTGTCATTTGAGGGGTCCTAAGGCATAAAGTTGGCAACTTTATGCCTTTGCATGCCCTATGGGAGCCTAACATCCCATTTTGACTATTAAGACTCACTTTAAGGACCTAAACCCATGCATGGTGCCATAACAACCATCAAGATAACATTTTTATGCTTCTAACATGCCAAAGGGACTAAGATCTAGCATTACAAGCTTCTGGAGTTGCCCAAACTCACCAAAGATAATTCATGGACCAAAAATGAGCTTATGAACAAACTCTAACTCAATCTAGCAAAAGGATCAACAAGGTATGAGCTTTTTACCTCCAAAATCTTCCCAAGATGATGTCGATTCAGGATCTTGAAGCCCAACCACGTCCAAGGCTTGCACACTAAGGTCTTCTTCTTGCAAACACACCAAAAAGGGCTACAATGTCACTTCCAAGCTCAAAGATCACACTCCAAGGCAAACTAGGGTTTTAGGGACGTTTAAAGGTGTGGAGGCTGATAATGGATAAGGTCCAAAGGTCATAAATGAGCTTAAATAGGGCTCATGCCCGAAAATTAGGGTTTTACTTCATGGCCACGTACGCCCCACGTACGTGGTTCAAGTCCGCATTCCTTCCACTCATGTACACTAAGCGTACATATATGTACGCCCACTGTACTAAGGAACTCTTTGAAAAGTAAATTATGATCCAAGACTAAAGATGACATACCTGAATCCGAGTGTTACAAATTTGGTGTATCAAAAAATTTCGTGAACATCTACAAGATAAAAAGATGGACGAGGGTGTTAGATAAGAATGTGACCAAATGAAATGGAAGCTATTAACTCACACCTATGTTGTGTTGTTTGTTATGTTTTTCGGTAAGATCGTTTAATGGATTTTTCTTGATGACATTTTATAATGTGTGCTAGTTTTATACTGTATTTTCCTTAATGACGGTTTAATTTATTTGTGCACGTTATTAGTTTGTATGGAGTGTACATGATTCGTAATGTTGTTAAATGGACATATATAAACAT